CATACCCATGCCATATATCCATATATATTCTGAGGCTTATACAAGCTCTGAAGTAGACTATTCCTATGCTCCGGGAAGTCTTGGGTAACTTGATGTTGAAAACCGAAGGATCAAAGTCAATGGGATTGTAGCCAGACACGAAAGAAAAAGGCAAGACTGTCATCATAGAATTACAGGCAAAAATTATCAGAGACCGTAAACACAGAGCCATCTCGACGGCAAAGGAAAACCAAAACGAAAAGGAAAAAACGCAGAAGCAGAGCAAAATAGCACCCTAGAGTTACAACAAATGCCGCGAAACCGAGGCTAGAAGAGGAACAGGGGGGAATTCTATACAAGTAGAAGTAGAAGTAGAAGTAGAAGTAGAACGCTGTCGCACATCCATAAGCTCCACATTGACGCCGGATGCCCTTGAAAAACCGAGACTCAAGAGAAAACGAGACTGCTCGGACTCAAAAAGCAAGGCTTATTCTAAATAGCCACGTTCTTCATTTCGCCGAGGACCTCCGACTCAATGGCAGTTGAGGACTCCGCGGAGTCGGCCTTGTCAGCCTTGTCAGCCTTGTCAGCCTTGTCGGCCTTTTCGGCCTTGTCGGACTCCTTAAGTTCATTGGGCTTGGGGAACCCTTCATTTTCCTTGTTGGAGATTTGCGGGGTTACCACCTCCATGAGATCTTCAGTCTGAGGCTCCTTGCCGTTTTCCTTGGCGTCTTCGGAGATTGTAGGTCCTGCGGTAACAATGGGGCTTGTTGTCTCCTCAGTTACGCGTGCAAGAGGACTGGACACGCCGAATGGCGTCTTGGGACTCTGGGCATTCCCACCCTTGGAGAAACGGTGTGGTGAGCGGCCTCGTTCTTCAGTGCGCGTGGGGCTGCCGTAGGGGGACTCCCGACTGCTGGACCGGTTGCCTGAAACGTTCACACCAAGACCATTGGGCACGGGGCCCTTCCGGCGAGGTGCACGGCGGCCATACTTCTGATCCGTCCGCCAGCGCAGAATATCCAGGTATGGGGGCTCCACATTCTGGGTCTTGAATTGCTTCAGCTTCAGTTCATCCGTGTGCTCATCCACAATGGCGTGGCCGCTGCACAGATCGTCGGCGAGAGTCGCGAGGAACGCAGCCCATGATCGGGCAACGACGTATTTGCAGTCGTAATCCCGGCCGAAAATAATCACTTGGCCCCATTTTCCAGCGGGGCCGGGTGCCAGATCAATGGCAAGGTTGTTGCCGCCCCAATCACGGGCGAGGGGAATCCAAGCGGGGTGTGCGTACGATTTTTGAACTGCACCGGGAGGCTGGGAGTCCTGACGATCGAGCAGCTCCGATTGCCACATTGTGGATGAGGCCTGCCGAGACGGACCAGCCGCGGAGGAGCTTGCCGCAGAGCTGGATGCGGGTTGGGTTTGCATCATAGTTGCGTTGCTAAGATATTCGTCGTTGACCTTTTTCCAGTTCGTCCATTCCTGAACGATCTCCTCGCAGTCGAGTAGCATGGCGCTGAAGATGACACCGGTGGGTAGGCCGCCGCGTTCTTGGCCATCATGGAACATCAACGATTCCCGCACCTCTAATGGTAGACTGCAGTCGAGTTCGTGCTCCAATTCGTTAATATCGTTCTGGGTACATCCTTCACCGAGCTGGTCAAGGAGTTCCTCATAATTCTGTTCTAACCAGCGTTCAATCTTCCTCCAGGAGTGAGCGACCGGCGGCGGCGGTGGCGCTCCATCGTGGAAACTTTGCATTTGAATCTCCGGTGCACCCTCTGCTTGGTCGTTCGATCGTCTCTTTTGAGATGCGGCCGACCTCATCCCCGGTGAGTAGGGGTGGGTGGGAGAGCCCAAGCCGTCGGGGGAGCCGTTCCACTCGGATGCTTGTGCACTTGCAGATCCTTTTGTGGGCTCGTCATCGTAGGGGTTAGAGAGGTCTGGGCGAGATTCGATTGCGCTGGTTGCGATAGATGTGAGCGGCTCGTGGCGACTTTGGCTGAGAGGGACGTGTCTCCCAGTACGGTAGGGGGAGTCGTGGGAGGCATGACGGTCATAGGAGGTCATGGTATGCCAAAAGGAACGCCATGTCGAATTCAACCTGCATCATGTCAGCGGACATGGACCTTATCTAGACATCTAGAGGTAGACTAACATATTCGCCATGGTGTCACAGTAGGGGAAAAAAACGGGTGCAGGGGGTTAACAGATCGTGAAATCAGTCATTGGAGAGGGGAAAACGTGTCCGTCGCGGGAATAATCAAAGCAATAGAATTCAAATTCCAGGGGGAGAATGAAGAAAGTAGTTGAAGATGTAAAGACGTGAAGTTGTGGTAGGGGCAACCTTGAAAGTCCCAGAATCCAGAATTAGGTAAGGACGGAGAAAAGGTGGAAGGGGGGAAATAGATGGCTTTCTCTTTATTTTTCTTTGGAAACACAAGATTTTGAAGGCTTGAAATTAATATAATCTGTACTTCTTTCATCTAAAAACAGTGAGGTTCTTTACTTTAATTGTTATGATATGACTCTAGTTAACCCCTGGCTGCATTCAGCGAAGTCTGGACATCTGGTATGTAGATCCTTTGATATGATGTCGACAACTCATCATAAGCTTTTGAATGCGAATCAAACGATGGATGGTCTTGCCAAGTATGTGTATTTTATTATGTACTGCATCCAGTACATCGTGTCTTCCAGGCTAGATACAACTACACGTGGGCACTGGACCTATCTGAATGCCATTGTCCCACACCCGGCGAAAGCAGTTCAGATTAAGTTTCAGGAGATCGATGAAAGAGTCGAATTCCTGATATGCCAGAACTCTGTCAGGCAAAAGATATATACACAGGAACCCAGAATAGGAGAAGTGGCGTTCCCCAAATCGACGTGATATCAAATTAGGCCGAAGGTGAGTGGATCTCGGGGAAACGCCTGTGGCGGACGAATAGGAATTAGGGTTAACAATAGGGGGAAAGTCCACGTTCCAAAATAGAAATTAATCGGAGTACTCCGTATAGGCCATTTAGCTTAAGCTACGAAACTATTCCATGTAGATCCTTATTACTGAAAAACTTATATTGTAAGCCTAAACGGAAAAAAAGACCTTGGGAATATTAAGATCAGCAGGCTCTCATAGGCTAGACTCCACACTGGAATCAGAAAATCTGCCAATTCTGATTCGTTTCAACGGTATGGCTTCTTCGGTTGGTGTTCAGGTAGTTGGCTGTTCCTGTGGATGACACTGTCCCATCCCATTTTCTTTGCGCACAATAACGACCTGTGCGGCTGTTGTACCAAATTCGATCATGCATGGGCCGCATCATGGTTTCCATTCCGCCACAATGCACGAGAAGTAATCAGTGCCGTGATCCATGTAAAAGTTATGGATGATATCTGAGGCTCCTTTCACCATACGTTGGAGTATGTTTTGAATTTTTCTCGTAACCGTCGGCTACAAGATCAGTGTAGTTCTTGATATCGTCCTCGAGCATCGTCCGCATTGTCTCCAATAGGAAAACTAGCCCACACAAATATCCAATATCGCCAGGGATATCATCGATTGTTTTGTAGGTGTTAGTACAATGCATCTAGTAGTCATCAAGCCCTCGGTATCCTCGTCGTCATCCACACCATCGCTATGACTGGTCTCATCTTCTCGGGCATTATAGGGAGACGTAGGTCTGAAACAACGCTGTCATTGCTAACCCTGTCAGGACGACCACAACGACTGAACCATGTTTTAGCGGTGTCATACCACGTATAGAGGCTCAAATGCATGCCTGGGCAGCCATTTCCACCAAGGTTGGGGAAGTAGGTGCATAATCCGACAACCGCACCCTGATATTTGACCCCAACAGGGTCCCATTCGTACCGCGACTTACCCATATGTTTGCGGCCTTTGTTCAGCCACACGGTACTATCACAGTTGAACTTGTCCGTGTGGATCATGTCCGCTTTGCCGTTGTCATCTACATACGGCCCTAGTCTTGGCAACTAGGGTCTTGGCGGCCTAGCAACTGACTTTAAAGTGATCCCCGCGCTATACTGAATTCAGCGACTCTCATATATATAGGCCATTGGTCCCTTTTACAAATATAGTACACTCTGGGTCTACATTTCCCGATTTCACATTCATCTTAAGTATGCTATGTCCTGCTGAAGGGTCTTTTAATTCTAGATATTCAGCAGATTGTGATATGCATGCATAACCCACCAGTGCTGAGATATCCTGTAATTTGGCGCCAGATCTACTAGGCTCCAGGACTATACTAGTCATGTACGACTACTACTTGCACAGCATAATCGGAACCAAAATCTGACAAGTGATGATTATAAATCGAGTGACGGGTACAAAATACACACCGATATGGACATGTCAGATACTTGAACAAATTCAATCCTCATAAAACGAGCGAGGAGGATACACCGAGGTACGAAGTGCCATGTCAGCCCCAGGTCAGCTTAGAAGGTTGACCGAGGCTGATCGCTACTTCGACCAAACAAAAAGAAATAAGGAAGCTGAAAAGAAAAGACCCAAACCACCAAGAAACAATGCCAAAAAAAACCAGCAAAATCATGCATTTGTTCCCATTCCTCCATGCCCCAAACCAAAACCAGGCGCGCCACCACATTTGGGAAAAATCACGACGCCGAACGATGGAGAAAAGGTGACGATAAAATTACCACCTCATCAATGTACCAAGCAACCAGTGCCGTGCATTATCATCATGGTGAACATTGCCGCAAGAGACGTATGGAAAGAAACAATGAGCACCCTATAGCGGGAAAGGAAGACTAGAATGAACCAACCAAGGGACCTCAGACCAGTCGAGGATGCCCGTATGAACAGAATGCAATGAAAAAGCAAAGTAAAGTCAAACTAAATTCAATAAAGAAGCAAAATAAGAGTAAGAAAAATAAACAAAAGGAACAGGTCATTCGATCAAACGAGCGGAGAGACGTGATCATAAAAAGAAGATCATAATCTGACAAGGTAAGTATGGAGCCGCGCGGAGCTACGCGGAGCTCTGAGTGACCCGAGGGCCCGAGGTATCAAGCTTGAGAACCCGACGAATATCATTCTCGATTTGCCGGGTGTCCACCACCCGGGAAGGAGATGGCGAGGTCACGGGCATTTGGAATGAAGCCGACGCATGGCTTGGTTGGGGCGAAGCATAGCCATTCCGCTGATACTGGGGGGTTGCTATGTACGGATTACCATATGGCGCCGGTGAAGCTCGGTTCGATGCGCCATTTGAGGGGGGGCCACGATACTGAGGCATCGAAGGGGGCGGGACCATCTCAACCTCACGGCGCAGGGGCGAGTGAGAGTGGGCGGGGTATGGATAGCGAGGCGGTCCGGTGTTCTGAGGAATCTGCTGCTGTTGCAGCTGGTGGGGAGAAAATGAACCATGAGACATGGTCAACTGAGGACCAGACGAGGTTCGCATAGGTGTGGCGTAGGGAGGCACATTGGAAGGACGGGGCCCAAAGGACCCAGCGTATTCATGCGAGGCATAAGCCGAGGAAGGTGGCTTCTGTGGGGGTGGGTTGAGCAACAGCTGCTTCAACTCCTCGGTCTTAATTCGTCGCTCTTCTTCAGTCATGTCAGAGGACTGAGGGGTACTGGAGGGCCGCAGCGCATTCATACGATCCTGGTAAGAAGGGGCGAAAGAAGGACCAATGTTTGAGTTGCGAGAGTAGTCGGAGTTTCCCATTTCAAATGCAAACATGCCATCAGGATTGGGGCGCGAAGTCCTGGGTTCAGTCTGGGGAGACTGAAGGACCTTGTTCACCTCAGGGCTGCTCGTGGACTTCTGATCTCTGGCTTGCACAGCAGCCTTGAAGAGGAAGTCGAGAGGGGAAGGCTTGTGCTCCTCAGCCTTGGGTGGGTTGTTGCGGTTGCGAGGTTTGGATGGAGTCACCTCTAGTTCGGGGTCCACCGCATCGTCACTATCGGTCTCGATGGGCGGGACCAGATTGGCATCAGGAGCTGACTTGGAGAAAAAGCTAGGGATGGGTAGAGCTGATGGCGCAGGCGATGCGTGGAATGTCGGTCCGGCATAGGCAGCGCTCGGCTTTGTCTGAGGAGAGGTGACGGCGGGGTGGGTTGGTGTGTATCGGGGACCATTGTTGTACCCGTTACTGTGATATCCAGAGTGCGGGGCAGGTGAAGCTTTGTTGTCTCGCGGCTTCTTCCCTGAGCGCAGAGGCTTCTTCTTGGAAGAGTTGAAGTTGTTTAAGGAATCCACCTGGATGAGTCCCGGGGTCATGTTATGCGGCGGGGATGATGGAGGAGTAGAGAGGAGCGCCGGTTTCGGGGCGTGAGGGGTCATATTCTTCTTCTGAGGGCGACGGTTGTTGCGCGAACCCTTGGGAGTCGGAGGATGAGGAGATTGGGTCGACATGTCGACGGTTGGCTTAATAAATAGGCAGCCTGGAGAGAGATAGGTAAAGAGAAAAGGCAACGCTATGACGAAGCAGTAAACGGCAGAAGACGCGGATATTGCAGCAAAATGAGTCAGATCACTGCTCAGCAGGTGTCGAAAATATTAGATATGGCAACGCCGGGGAAGCAGAGAACGTGACGTGTATCAAACTGAGGAAGTGAAAGAGTCGCAAGTTGAGTCAAGCGGGTGCTTCAAAGGCAAAGATCGACAGTCTAATGAAAGATCTTGTCTATGAAACAGAGAGCGTGACAGAAGTCAAAAATGAAAATCAACTGGAGACATCTCTAAAGAGGAAAAAAGAAGAGAAGGAAAAGAGGACTGAATCATTGTTGTTGGCTGAAGGGAAAGACCATCGAATGCAGACAAACGGGGAGGGGAGATCACATTTCGATGACTAAGACGCCACCTGCTTCACGATAGAACAAACCAAGTCAAACAGAACTATTAACTGCTGGACAGGGCATTGTCGCATTGTGTATTGAGTACCTTTGGAGATATCTCTTATTCTAACTCCAAAAGGATATCGTCCGTTCGATCTCGACTCTCTTTCTACTACAATCACCGCCCTCAATCACCGCCCTCAATCACCGCCCCAGCCTGGATATCGGAGCCTCACTTACGTCAGTCACAGTTCTGATAACTAAATACCCCCCACTCCAGCTAGCTTCTGTTGCCTCGCGCCAAGCATTTCAACCTAAAACCATTCAACTTCCGACAAGAACCTCAACATGACAGACGTGGAGATGAAGGAAGCCGCTACTGGCTCCTCCAAGGGCAAGGCCGTGGCCAAAGGCACCGATAATACCGACAAGAAGAAGTTCGAGGTCAAGAAGGTACACAAGGCCCTACTGTTCGCAGCGACTCATCATACTGACTGGATATTGTTAAGTGGAATGCCGTTGCATTGTGGGCTTGGGATATCGTCGTCGACAACTGTGCCATTTGCCGAAACCACATCATGGACTTGTGTACGCTGAAACTACCCTCCACAGCTCTCTTGATTTTAAGTTTACAAGCTGACACATCAACGAAACAGGCATCGAATGCCAGGCCAACCAAGGATCATCAACAACGGAAGAGTGCACTGTTGCCTGGGGTATCTGCAACGTGAGGACCCCTGCACCCACCCCATCCGATCGTTCGATCATAGGCTAATTACTCGCTTTCTATAGCACGCATTCCACTTCCACTGCATATCGAGATGGCTGAAGACCCGCCAGGTCTGCCCGCTAGACAACCGAGACTGGGAGTTCCAAAAGTACGGCCGGTAAAAAGGTGGACACCGGAGGTTTCAAAGACACTACACGATACAAATTCACGATTTCTGGCTGATGCCTCATGCTCAATGGCTATAACTTGAACTTTTTTTTTCTTCCAAGATGCTTCTGGATCTTTACCACGGCCTAGGGATTGGCGGGCGTTCGAACGATTGATATCTCGAGCTAGCTCCATAACTTCCCCATTCGCATATTCCGTAGCAGACAAGAAAGCGCTGCCCAAATGCTTCCAATGATCATTACGCTTGACAATTTCTCAATAGCTTATTGCACCTTCACCCCGTCCACAGTTATACCCGGAGTTGTTCTTGCGTTTGGTGAGCCCATCCACTTCTCCGAATTGCGGTTGTATATCGGCCAGGGCGGGACAACAACGAAAGCTGTGAACAGTGTGCCTGCTAAACCAGTCCATAACGTAAGGTGGATGTCCTTATAGATGTATCCGATGAGGAAGCTGGCAATCTAGAGCAGTTACAACAATCATTAGCTCCGGCTATACAAGACTCAAGATTCGTGCAACATACCCCTGAGATAACCAGCAAGACGGTCGACAGTAACTCTGCTAGACGTTGGCCGTGGAAGTCCTGTTATCGAGATCTTGTTAGCTTGGATCGTCCAGACACGCAGAGCAATGTCAATGAATGCAGACGATGTGGCGGGGCGTACAATTTGGCCTTCGAGGGCATCCTGAATCGGTGCGAGCAATTCATCCATAATTGAAGCAATTTAATCAGATTCGAGGTCAACACGCCGAGTTCGAGCGTCCCTTGATCGATGACGGGCGGCTTATCGCAATGGTGTCATTTGCCTTCTGCCACGTCGGACCGCCTTTCTCTCTCCATTGTACACGGCCATAACTTTGATTCCGCATGTGCTCGGCCAGGTTATTCCTTGAGAAATTGATCCGATATTGAACTTTAATCGTTACGTGGTTGATCATGATTTCATTCCATGTCATCTGCCATCTATCTCTAGAACCACTCCCCCCCCCAAAAAACAGATCACCCGAGTTGGAGGACTGCTGGAAAACTGGCCTCGAGAAACTCGGCCTGCGATCGTGTACCAGTGTATAAGACCTGCAAATCCAAACGTGACCCGGACCCAAGTTGCCGTGTCGGAAGGCTCACATGCACCCTGCAATGCAAGAAAGCAAGGAGCGGTGAAAACGAGATCTTGCATGACCCATGTGGTGGCGGTTAGAGAAGAAATATTTCTTCCCATATCCAGCCAGATACAGGTTTACCTCGAATCCCAATGCTCCAATGCTGCCGACACGTGCTTGTATGCCAAGCACAGCGAACCGCTGACTCGCAGGTAGCGATCGTGTTATGACGACACAAGAGGCCCCGGCTTTTAGTTATAGGTGACAGTTGCGCCATCCTGGGCAGGCTCCAGCAGCTTCCATTGGCATGAGATATCATTGGAAGCGAACTGTGCGATAATGCGGTCAGCAATCTCGGTGAAGCGATCCGTAGCCAGTGCCAGGATGGTAGGTCCTGCACCGGAGAGACAGATTCCTAGCAAACCGGGTTGAGTGGCAGGGGTCATGAATTGGAGAATCTCAGTCAAGCCTGGGATCAGCGTCTTGCGATACGGCTGGTGCACCTTATCCTGCATGGCGAGGAAGATCATATCAGGATCCGGTGGGGAACTTCCCAAAGCCGCGGGGAGGAGTGCTGCGCGCTGGAGATTGAAGACCTAGCCGAGAGATTAGTCTTGAATTTGATAGTTATCAATTTTGAACGTTCACATACCACATCCGCTCTCGAGTAAGTCTCCGGGAGTACATTCCGGGCGTTGGCAGTAGGCACCACAAAGTTAGGGATAATGGCAATGGCCTTGATCTCCGGAGCCCAATTGAACTTTCTGTAATGACCAATGGCCATTGGCGGCTCGGGGGGTCTGATGCCGGTGTCCACACCACCTGCTGGAGCAGGCAGAACTTCACTGAGAGGGATCTCTTTGCGTGCCACGTCCTCGGGCTTAAGCTCATTCAGATAGGTACCCACGAACCCACCGAAGAGGGAAGCAGCCACGTTATCCGGGTGCCGCTCTATTCGCACGTGTTAGTAAGATGTACGATATACGAATCGATTTTTTTCTTTTTCTTTTCCTCCGGAGACTCAGATGAGGGGGTACATAAAACACTCCAACCTACCAATCATCAAACAATAATCAAGTAACCGTTCCTTGCTCAGACCCAGCTTACCCACCTCATTGCCCAACATGACACCGGCAACGACAGCGGTACCAGAGGAGCCCAAACCCCGGCCTAATGGGATGGGGTTGACGATATGCACCTTGGTCTCGACGGGGAAGGCCCGCTGGTTATGACATCTGAGGACATACAGGGCTACACGGGTGATCAGATTGACTTCTGGGTCAAGACTGATCTGCTCAACACTCTTGCTTTGATCTTCATAGGTGATGGCGCAGTTGAAGGGGAGCTGGGATGAGGGTTTGGCCTCAACGGTGACGTGGAGATCCAGGTGGAGGGACAATGCCAGGCCGATGACATCGAATCCAGGGCCAATGTTGGCAGAGGAGCAAGGGATCTTGATCACGAAGGAAGTCATGGCTGACAGAAACTATATGCCCGAGTGTGTACAGAGTCCAGCACAGATGTACAAGATAGTCTGATAGTCCGGTATGTGACTCTGAAACTCTTGGCACACCAAAAAAATTTGGCCGACGTCGGATACGCAAGTGGAGCACTTAATACATTGGGATTTCTTTTTGATTTGATTTGTATTAGCATCTATATCAGATCTTGCATATATTGCATTGTCGGTGTGTTTTTTGACTCTATACCAAGTACTCCGTTGGTACATTGGTACTTTTTTTGGACCATGGATGTTCCAGATAGAAAAGGCGAAACATGATAAAAAGGGGGTATTTTTTACCGAGATAAAAATTGTTCTCTAGTCATAGTATTGTGTCAGATAACCTGGAAATACCGAAAAATGCCAAGGGCGACAAAAGATCCAATATGACATCTTAGACCGAGGGATAGTATACGGAGTACAAGCCAAAAGCATACGAAGCATAGACATTTGATATAAAAATGCCTCAAAGCAATTAGTGGAGGGATAATCCCTAATCAATAATAGGCCATTTTATAGTCCTCATCTACTCCCGTAGACCCTTTTCCTTTATCTGCTGAAACGGGGCCCGCTTGTAAAAATTTTCACTAAGCTTTGTCTCCTTCTTCGACATATTAGTTCTAGCCCACCCCACTGTGTTCTTTCTCCTATATTACTACCCCCTAAAGGTGCTCTGGTTCTTATATTAGTCTTTCATATCCCGTGGTGACTCTGGGCGGCTGCCGGAACCATCATCGACCCGTTCGGTCTTTGCCACTTCATTTTATACCTTTCCCGCCTTTCCCACTTTTCTAAATTCCCACTCCAACTTACGACTCAACTAGAATTTTCAATCTCTGATCTCTTGCCAATAGAGCTCAGTTGAGAATTCGAGTATTAACGTCAATCTTCCACGAATCCTTCGCGCCTCTCGTCTAACAGCAACCCTGGAGCCACCAAGCTCCTCATCCGACCACTTCTTCAAGTTGGCGGGACTTCGCTACACCGAGGCCTCTCTCCTCCACCCTCTTGCAGGCCCTAAGTTCCGGGTCTTTGGCGGGGGCGACACCAGACCCCCCTAACTGGGTTTCAGCAACATCTTTATTGTGGCCGCCAGACGTTAGTCGGTAACGCCAGACCCTCGTGAAGGGTCTGGCTTATGGAGGGTCGTCACCCTCGAACGAACCTCTTACCGGCTTGCGTCTGCTCCGGCCGTCGTGCTATCCAAAAGCAATTATAACCAAACCCCAACACCACGCAAAAACCCGCCAATCTGGCGCCCTAATCGCTTTCGTCAATTTCTCATATACTGAGAACCCACCATGTCCGAGTCTCCCAGATCCGAGAGGTACATGTACCTGACTAGGTACAGTACCCCGGTACCCGAACTGGATGATCATCGCCTCCAGATGCAGACGCCCCCACGCATTGAAGCCCCAGTCGAGCGTGCTTACAGCCCGCGCGATACCACTCAAGGTCCCGAAATGCTCGATCGTTCGGACTTGCTCAGTGCCCAAGATGCCAGAAGAGACGGTCCAATTCCTCGAGACTTCGAAAATTCCGTGGACGATGATCGTTCGCTGAATGAGTTGAATGGACTCGCTCGACGGTTCTCAGTCGACCCTAACGGCACCTACCAAACCCCTCGTCGCATCAGCATTGTGAATCCAGATCTCGCCAATAATGACGGCGCCTCGTCCGTGTCCGCTCGATCATCCTCTCCTCCCAATTCAGTCGAAGCTTTTGCCGACCCTCGTCGCCGTGAACGCGCCAATACCCTGGACAGTCATGCGCCTCCCGACCTGGAAGCTATTTTGCAACGCACTGTTTCGGGTGGCACCCACAACCGGCGCCCAACTTTCAGCAACGCCAGTGTTGTCCGCCCTCCGTTAGGGGATGTGCCATTCGACACGACAGAGGAGGCCTGCTTCGACGAACCAGGCCGTATTCCCGTCATTGATTATGAGGAACTCGAGGAGTTTGTGGCTTTGAATCCGAGCACCAAAGTCGGCGATGGCATTCGCCGCATGCACAGCATGAGCTCGCAGGGCAAGAGGCCCCGCATTTTCTACGACCTCCGCCCCGGCGCTGAAAGCCCTGAGATGGGTGCACTCAACAAGACTAGCTCGTCTGATACACTGAGTGAGGATGAAAAGAAGAAGGCCGAGGTTACAAACGAAAAGGAGCAGTTTAAAGCAACTCAGAATACAAGCCAGCGCTCTCGCTTTGGTTTCTTTTCGTCCGAGGCTCAAAGCACAGTGCATGCTGCCGATTTAGGAGATCTAGTGCTCCCTGGCGAAACCTTCCGAGATCTTTTCGAGCTTGGACCTGAGGGAGGTGTGTGGTGGTTGGATGTGGTCAACCCCACCGATGAGGAGTTGGGAGCTATCTCCCGGGCTTTCTCTATTCACCCGCTGACAACGGAGGATATTCAAACCCAGGAAGCCCGCGAGAAGGTTGAACTGTTCAAGCAGTACTACTTTGTCTGTTTCCGCACCTTCTTCCAAATGGACAAAACCAGCGAGGAATTCCTCGAGCCTGTTAATTTCTATATGGTTGTCTTCCGAGACGGTGTCCTCACCTTCTCCTTTGAGGACAACCCTCACGCATCCAATGTTCGGAAACGTATTGGAAAGCTGCGAGACTATGTGTCTCTCAGTAGTGACTGGATTTGTTACGCGATGATCGACGATATCGTGGATAGCTTCGGCCCCGTGATTCGTGATGTGGAATTGGAGTCTGAGGCGATCGAAGACCATGTCTTCATCGCCCGGGTTGACGATTTCGAATCGTTCCTCCCTCGCATTGGAGGCCTGCGCAAGAAGGTCATGAGTTTGATGCGTCTGCTAGGCGGCAAGGCCGATGTCATCCGTGGATTCTCCAAACGCTGTAACGAGCAGTACTCCGTTACTCCCCGTGGTGACATTGGTCTTTACCTTGGCGATATCCAAGATCACGTTGTGACCATGATGTCGAACTTGGCGCATTTCGAAAAGATGCTCAGTCGGTCTCATACCAATTACCTGGCTCAGCTAAATGTCACCAACTTGGTGTTGGGAAACCACGTCAACAAGGTTCTCAGCAAGGTCACTCTGATTGCTACGATTCTGGTCCCCATGAACCTGATCTGTGGTCTGTTCGGTATGAACGTAGAAGTTCCCGGCGGCCACACGGATGGATTGGCTTGGTGGTTCGGCATTCTTGGAGTCATGGCAGGTATTGTTATCGTGAGCATTGGCCTTGCCCGCTGGCAGAGGCTGGTTTGATTTTTTTTATTGTTGGTTATGTTGACTTGCCATCTTTCCTTGGCTTTCTTCATTTATTTTGCATTCTGCGTGTTGTTTGACTGTGATCGTTTACTTCATCCCGTTTTTCTTTTGGTTGGTTTTAAAATACAATATCTATCTATAGAATATAATTTTCATCTTCCTCCAAACGACATGCTCAAAGTGCTCATCTCTACCATTTAAAACGTGGCTTTGCACCTGAACACCTACCATGTCACCGGGATGGTTAACACTCCAACAATGGACCAGAGGACCTGAACGGCTTTATACCACTGCTCGGTGTGATCGTATTTGGCTTGCGTGGACTGGCTCCTGGTCCACCCATACAATATAGGACCGAAGTTTATATATTTTCGATAGCTTGGAATGGTAACGAGGCGGTAGTTGAGTAGATAGATCATGATCTAGGAGAAGAGAACTAGGGTAGTGTACAAAGCCGCAAGCCAGATCGGCTATCTGCATTGGAAGACATGTTGAACATGCCAAATTAAAGGTGCCTATGCCCCGCGGTAACTGATCTTGGGGAAAGTAAGGCACTTCAGGCTGTCGTGTACAACCATGATCGGCGCACTGAGGTAGTGTAGCATATAAACACCTTGAATACACGCCATAATTAGAGCTGCCCGAGTAGTCTGGGCTATCTGGCCATTTCCCCTTCATTCGCATTCTGGGGTGCCTGCCCATGTAGAAGTTTAGCGTCCTGATTGGATAGGACTCTACATTCTCAATACAATTTACATCAGAAAGCTTGGCTGAGTGCCCCCATAAAAGTGGCAGTAGCTAAGATAGGAAAGCCATAGAGGAAATATGGTGCATACATGTAAGTGTCTATAACCATGCACACGCGGTCCTATTAGCTAACCAGGCTACGTGTTCTAAATAAGGCAGCAAGGCAACCAAATTGATAAGACTGGCATTTTCTACGATAGCCGGCCTCATCTAAACAACTCTCACGTCGACTACATGCAGCCGTTGATTTGGCCTCCAGGAAGAGGTTTACAGCTGGTGTATACCACCGCTTGCCCGTGATAGCTTTACACGCCCACTCCAATTCTGCCCATAGGCTGTGCAGCGACACCCTCCCCTCCGTCCTTCCATGCGACATCAATACAACGCGCTGCAGTGCTATCTTACTGCAACGATTAGCGCGGTCTTTCTTCTTTTCGCACTTACCTGCGACGTCGTCTATGCCGACGCCCCCCATGGCCCGGATACGGAAAACACCCTGACCCTACGAGGGGCGGTTACCACCAACGGAGCAGGACTTCCACTTGCGCTGGACTCGTTCAATGGGCTGGAAATACGTGACAGCGTCGACGAAGATGGCGAGTCAAATGGGCTGGAGCTCGTGCGCAGAGTCCCTAATGCCGCAAAAGCATTAGGCAACAACCAGTTCGTGCCGGGCGAGCTCGAGCTCGGCGATGTCAAATGGTTCTACCTGCCCAGCGATGTGGTGAACGGCAAACACGACCCCAAAGGCACGGGTCTTCCTGCATATATGAATGCTACAGTTAAGGATAACCCTCACTCGACTCGTGAGCTACGGAAACGAGACGAGGACTTTTCAAAACGAGCGATGACGACAGTCTATTTATCGCTCACGACCTGCCAAAAGCCCCTTGCCAATAAAACCAACCCAGAAAACGGATTCCCACAGTTGCAAATGTATGTGTCGAATTCGCAAAAACTGCAACAGCCAGGACCGGGCAAAGACGACTCGAAGCAGGATATACACACTGCCGCTGGCGGGTATTTGGGAATCACCATTGACACGGACAGCGACGTCTTCATCGGTGTCGCAGCGCCTAATTCAACCGACTACATGGGAAGTTACAAGTACCAGATTGCAGCATCCATCGATGACTTTTTCCACAATGTCGTGGAAAATGATCCAAATCTGTTGTTCATCGACGCGGACGTGTCAGCCGCGCTGCTGGTGACGAACAACCTAACCCTGTCCGAAAGTAACACCACAAATTACAAGCAATGGATGAACCTCGTCCCACCATACACTATGTTTGCCCATAACATCAACGACACAGCACTGGAAGGCTTAGAGAAATCGTTTTGCGCCCTCGATGAGCTTTCGCAGATGGGCCGAATCAGTAATTCAACCGAGGTTGGCATGACCAGTCGTGGACTTGGAAATAAGCCCAAAGAACAGTTCTATATTACTGGTCTGAACCAGAGTTCAACGTACAGCGGTCTTCTGGCTATGATTGGCAATTCAACCGCGTCCGGGAATGGCATCATCGGCGGCGGCGGCAAGGTATGGAAACCGATGAACTTTACGACCAAAACAGGTGAGCAAGCCGAAACAACCTTTATCAAAAAAAAAAAAAAAAAAAAAAAAAAAAAAGCAACCCCATCTAACCATCCTCTAGATGACAACTGCGCCGTGCTATTCAACTTAACCTTCTGCTCAGAAGTCGCATACGCAGTCCCCTCAAACCCTGAGTTAAGCGTCGACAAGCTCCGCACAATCTACGACGACCACGCCGCCGCCTACTATCAGAACTTCAACTATTCCCTACAACAAATCCAATGCAACGCAACCCAAGAATCAATGTTCTCCCTCGCCGTCGACTGCGACGACTGCGCAAGAGCCTACAAAGAATGGCTTTGCGTCGTCACAATCCCCCGCTGCTCGGACTACAGTAACCCCAAGAATTACACCCAGATCCGTAACGCAGGCCAGGCTTTCATCAATGGCTCTTCCTTGCCGGATGACAGTCCCCACCGCAAATTCGTGATGACGAATTCATCCCGCAATGCTATCATCGATGAGGAGATCAAGCCCGGTCCCTATAGGGAGATCCTGCCTTGTCGAGATCTCTGTCATACCCTTGTTAAGAGTTGTCCGTCTGCACTTGGCTTCGGGTGTCCTGAGGGCCAGATGATGAATTATTCCTACGGCCATCGGGATCCAAAAGGCGACGTTACTTGCTCTTTTCTTGGGGCTGCGTATTATTTGAGTCTTGGGGTGAAGCTGAGTGCTTGGGTTTGGTGGTTTAGTTTGGTGGTTATGGGGGTTATGTATTTTATGTGAATGCATACATGTAGATATATCAACATTTACTTGTCTAAATAACAAAGAACTCGATCTAGTTGTTCTACACACTTATTTTCTACCTATTATATACTCATCACCATTCCAATTCTTTCTTATTCCCCAATTTCTCTTCTTTCTTCTCACTCTTCAAAACTCCTGCCCCTTCTTCAATACCCCAATCCCCCCATCTCTCCCTCCAAATCCCAATCTCTTGCTTCCACAAATCCCTTACACAAGGGTCACATGAGCTCCCACAACAATCACCCAATCCTGGTGGAGGTGGTGGGTCATTGTATGCTCGCTCTCCTGCGCGGAGGAGTTGTTTCGTGCGGGTTTTTGTTAGACGCGTCTTGTAGAGGGCTTTGTAGAGAGGTGTGTCTTCGGGCGTGTAATATGGTTCTGGGGTTGGTTGTGTGGTTGAGTCTAAGGTTGGTGTTTCGATTGATATTTTAGTTGAACTTTTGGTCTCTTTCTCTTTTTCTTTGTTGTCCGGAGACGTGCCCGAGAAAGAGAATGGAGAGAGGAGACTTGAGAGTAGGTTTGCTGGGGAGTAGATTGAAGATTGGAATGTGTCTTTCTCTTTCTCTACTGTTGATGTCTCTGTTGATGGAATGATCTCTTTGGCCTTGGGGATATTTTCAGATGGAGTAGCAGACGTTGCTACCGATGGAGCAGTCTGTCTCTCTGGTATTTCGATGCTCATTTTGATATACCAGATATCGATCTCAGTTTGAAGCAGTTTGAATTATATAAAAGACCAATTCAGTCTTGAATCGGAATCTGTTCTCTCGTTAGTAACGGTCGGGATATTTATATAGAGCAAACCCACAAGTTCTAGGCCAAATCTAAGCTTCCAAATATCCAGTTTCACGAACGTCGTTGCAATAAAGAGGCATGGGGGGCCGAAGAAGTACCGGGACCGGGTAAAACTGTTTTCGTGGTTCCTGTTCGTTCCGATGTCCCACTATGAATTCGATCTATATTGCTTAAACTGCTACTCTTATACTCATGTTCATACTATGCAAATGAACAAAAAAACCGGGTGTACCGGGAATTGTGGTTGTTTCTGGAGATAAATGATATACAATAATGAAACGCCGTGGGAGTCTATCGGCTCCGTGGTATCGTGCAGCTAGAAAATAATAAAAAACAAAGTCATAAACCACCATCACTTGCGTTTCGGCGTAGGTGTCCAAACATTACCCAGTCCAGACCTCCTTTCTCCAGACCTCGGCGTGCCCCCAACCTGCTGCAACAGCTTCTGCGCTGCAGGGGTAAGCATCTTTCCCTGATGTCCTCCACCAGAAACAGAGCCCATACTAGAGCCAGCCCCGGGCGTATACCGAGACCCAAAGTCCAACCGAGGACTACTAGCAAAGCGCGGCGTCAACGAGACAGGCGTCTTCGTAACACGGGCGGCCTTTTCAGCACGCTTGTTCCGCGCCACACGATCGACCATACGATGATGCAGGGCTTCGCGCTTGCGAGTCTCCCCAAGTTGGAAGGGATTTGGCTTTTCAGAGGTCGGTCCGAGGAGGCGCCAGTCGACTTCCATGTCGTCGGTTTTGGAGCTGGAGCCATATGTGAATTCGGGTTCGGGCTCGTCTTCGTCGACGAAGGCGTATCCATTGACCCTCGGGGTTTCGCTTCCTGGGAAGGCTGACGCGGCTTCGGACTCACTGAGACGGGGTCGACCAGCGATGGCGTCTTGGATGGCGGATAGTGAGGGTGAAGGGGGCACGGCGCTAGCGGCGTCCGCTGCTGCAGCGGCATGTGGATCTAGAAGTCTAGTATTTTGGTAGAGAGTTCGCTTGGGCCCTGCCCGGGATGTCATTTCTGCTTTCTGCGGGAGTGTCTCGTGGGTATCCTCCACCGAGGAGGGGAGGAACATGAGGGTATTGTCTGGTCGGGTTTTCCACGTGTCTGGATTTGCGGGGCGGGCATCCAGATCTGTTTTGATGGCAGGCTGGGCATGTTCGTCTCGTTTAATAAGGCCCGTTTCCGGGTTTTCGCCTTGAGCTGTGATGCGCTTGATTTCTTGTTGGTGGTGTGCAATTTGTCGGGCAGAGGGAATTTTATTCCCGCTCCAAAGCCAGGGATATTTCTCCCGTCGTTTTTCATTCTGCTTGTCCAGGACTTTGTTGAAGGACTCGTTGTCTTCGCTGGTATACTTTTCCTGGAAGGCGACCAGTCCCATATTTGATACATCGGGGACATGTCGGTCTTGCGATTCTGTCGCCGATGTGGAAGTCGATATGACAGACATGGGAGTGTCGCCTCCCCAGCCATGAGGAGTGTCACCCGGCTGTCCGAAATGCTGTGGTGTGCTCGGGACCGATGCGTAGTCTGACTTGCGTCTTGCATTCGACCCTGGAGTGGGCGTGCGCATGACGCCTGCCAACTTTTTCTTGGAACTTGCGATCCATGCTTTATCCTTCGATTCAAGGGCTTCCAGGTACTCTTGTTTCATCTGTGTCTCGAGTAATCCCGGAAAGAAGTCGCGGGCAATAATGTGGGACAAAGTGTTGGTGTAAACGTCTTCGTCGAGGACAGTCGCGGGGCGTTTAATTCGCTTCGGGGGCGGCGGGGGAGGCATAAGCTGGCCAGCAGATTGCTTGACCAGCTCCTGCGAAGGAGAAGACGCCATGTTTGTAGAGCAAAAGCTTGGGGAGAGAATAAGAGAAAAGAGATGCCCAGGTGAGTTAGTGGCGATAAGACGGATAGCGGGTCATATGATTTTGGTCTAACCGCTTTAGGCAAACATACTTCAAACGCCACTACATGTTGGCTTGCATAGATCATATGAGCTAAGTAGGGTATGCATATGTATTTATTGTTACAATCACTATAAGCTTTATGGACAAGCCATATTTTTAGATTTGGTTTATATACAAAACCGGTCTTCTCTCGATAATCAAAATCCACCCAACTCTGTCCACATCAGAAAGATGTATGCCACAAAAATCATTTTATAGATACTTCTTCATAGATCTAGATCTAGATAGTCATAGCCTATTTCTAGCCAATATTCTTTATAGAGGTATATATTAGAGTTCCAGGATAGCCTTCATATTGGTGCTAAGCCTCTTCAGGATTACAAAGTCATCATATTTACTCATAGCCGTGAGTTATAAACTCCTTGCACTTAGAAGGCTCTTCTCCCCTTTTATTTCTTCTAACCTGCTAATATCCTTTTTTGCTTATTTGGCTTATCATTACCTTCATGACTATACTATATACTACAAAGTTGGGCTTGATGAAAGGAAGTCCTTCTAGTATCGAAAAAGCTTTCAAGACCATTCCTATTACACCTCTTCCTTGGCCTTAAGATATAGATCAGTATCTTGAACTAATTTTTACTACATCTTCATCTTGCTATGAGACCATTTTACTGCGACCCTCAATACGGGATTGGCACGGATGGGTTGTCTTTACCGAAGTGATAAATGACTTTTGCTGGGGGGATAGTCGTCAGCCCGACTACTCTATTTCCGACCGAGGCAGATATATGCCCAAAGCCACGGAATTTGATTTTACGCATTCAGGTTATCATGCCTACGAGAAGTATGGCATCAATGACCCAAGACGAATACTATTGTGATGTGGAACAAGAGTACTTTGCAACTTTTCGAATTTGAAACCACAAATCACAAGGATTTTGGATGCAGTCTATTGCTGGGAACGGCCCAATTATATTCGAGCCGCGACAATTGCAACACCGACGTTGATATTGAATTGTCCAAAAACCCGACCGGGTGGTCATGTCACTATAGTGATGACGAGATGGATCAACCTGGGATCCGGTCTCAGCTTAGATGGTCCCCCATGGAGAGTAACGCAGATAGCTCATGGGACTGACATGAAGCTTTCAAACTAGATTCGAAGGACTTGAGTCCTCGACATACCTTTGAAGCCTTTACCAGTACCTCACTTGGAAATTTGACTTCTCGAAATAACTCCTACCTCGAGAACCAGAGATATCGGACTATGATGGTACCAATCCCCAGGAGTGCACCCCCTTCCTGGCTCTGTGGAATGGGGCAGCTGCGCTTTGATTCTTGATGATATATGGCCTCGGTTTCAGCGATGGGAGAGATGAAACAAAAACAAAACAAAGAAAAAACATGTAATGGTTGCCGCTCGAAGATGTTCTGTACTGAATGACTTTACTACCATTATTATCACAACAAGACATGGTTACATACTTGACTAGCCATCGATCTTGTAGAAGGACCATAACAATACAAAGGAAGATGAACTATGTGTGTTGTACACTCGTTCTTCCTCTTTACAGTGGAGCTATTGCAAGTCATGCCAATGAAACCATGGATGGTATTGGAGCAGATCGGCTCCTCTATAAGAATCAAAGTCTATAACAAAGCAAAAAAAAAAAAAAAAAAAAGCCCCTAGAGACTAGCGAATGACCCAAAAACGAATTCCAAATTTCCTCCAAAAGATCCTTCTCCGTTTCCTCTTTTCCTCTTTCCCAAATCGCCCTTCCAATACACCAGGCCAGTAAAAATTCGCTATCGCTGAGAAATGCATCGAGGTGAAAGAATGACCACAGCTGAAACACGTAGAACAGAACACTAGAACAACATATGGCTCACAGGCAAAGACAAGAGTTAAACATAAAACAAAGACAATAGGAAAACACAGATCGTGGACTCGTTGAGAGATGGGTGAGAGTAGAGTCTATCAGGTGACAAAGCGACCTCAGATAGATCATATGCAAGGGGGTGAAAAAAAGAAAAATATCAACACAAAATACGGGGGTTGATGATAACGATAGTGACACTCAGTGAGCGGTTGTTGGGAAGAGAGAGTAAGATGGCGAGCGAGCTTTCCTCCGGTTTGGGTTTCTGAGAGGAACAGGAGGTATAGGAGCCTCGAATTTTATCGGCTGGGACTCGACCTCTGAAGTGGACTTGGCACGGTCATGAAGTGACACGGGAATATCCGCGCCCTCGAGACTCGTGCTACTGCCATTCTGTCGGAGGTGCGCCTCGGCCAGACTCTTGGTCTGGCGGTGGTGGGAGGAAGATGCAGGACGGGTGAGCGCCTCGCCGGCTGTCATGCGGTCCGTTGGCATGAGCTCGCGGCTGCTGGACAGGCTGTAGATGAGCTCTGGGACGCTGGTTGTCGTTGAGACGGAGGAGCGGTGCTTGCGCACGATGGAGGCTGCGCGGGAGAGCATTAGGCTCTCCTGTGAGTTGCACTTGCTAATCGGGGAGAAGCTGTTGCGGGGGGAGATGGGGCCCATCATGCCCTGCGAGAAGGGGAAGTGGCGGTCTGATTCGCCATCAGTGGTCATGTACTCCTCATACAATGGTTCGTGGGAGATGTGTTTGCCCATTGACGGGAGGATCGAGGAACTGACGGGATGGAAATAGTCTGCGCCCTGCGCGATGAACTCCTGCTCAAAGTCTGTGGTTGAGGGGGTGGCGGCTGAGTGGGAGGGCATCGACTGGGCTGGACTGGGAGTCAGGTCCGGGGTTGGTAGGGCGGAGGCGCTCAGTGGGCTCGGATGGAGCTGTCGGGTTCTCGGGGCGGGCCAGGGGCCATCGCTGCGGGCTACGCTGACTTGAGGGCGTGTTTCGTCCATGGATGTGCGAGACCAATCGAAGTTGGAGGTGGACTCGGCTGCATGCTCATAGCAGTAGTCGATGTCTGCGTCCCACGAGTCATACAGTTCGTCCTCGTATGAGAAGTGCAGGCCGGTGATCGGCTCAGGTGGTGTGACTTCCACCTGGGCGCGCGGGGTATCCTGAAGATCTTGAGGGAGAGTCGGCGAGCCTAGCGCCTCAGAGAACTTCCTGGAGAGCTCCTCGGTCACGTAGATCGACAAGGGAGCTTTGCGCTCGCTGGCAGTGGGTGACTGGGTTTCGGCTCGAGGTGGGCTGGTTTGAGAAGTTGAGCGAGAATGGGGGCATCCCACGCTGGACTCGGAGCTGTTCCAGTACCGGGTTCCTTCCTCTTCCTCGGGGACATCTTCCAGGTCATAGTGGCTGCTCATGGACGAGGTCCTGGCGCCATCCTCTGTGGGTTCGGGGCTGAAAAACCGGGTTGGTTGCACCGATTGGAGACACTCTGGATACGTCGTCGCAGTAGACAAGCCCAGGATCTCGTCAATGGCACGGGGTGCGGGCTCATCAGTCTCCGGTGGGGGATTCTCTGCCACGACAGGGGGTGGGGGAGTGGTGGGGCATGACCGGGGATATCTGGAGACTGGCCGCGAGAAGTTCTCGTTGACGCGCGACTCCCTGCGTGTGTGATTCCGGGGTGCTTTTGGAGAAGCGGGTGGGCTTACACTGGGCACATCAACTGTGGTGGCAGTTCCAAGCGCGCGCAGGTCATCACTGGAGAAATTGCGGAAATTGATATCGTCGGCGCGGATACCTTTCAGACCGGTCTGGGGCCGTTGAGATGCTCGGATGGCCGAGAACTCAGTGACGAGGTCGTTCTCGCGGGTTTGATCCAAAGACTGGAACTGCGAGGGGTTGGTATGAGTCAAGTGGTGGAAGTCAAAAGGATCAGAAATGATGCTTTTCAAGCGCTCGCCTAAATCGATTACCGGGGTCAATTGAGTCCACAATTTCAGCTGTCCTCAGCTGAGTGACCGGCACACTTACTGTGATCGGCATGGCGGGCACGACGGCCAAACGTCTCTCTCTCGGGCTTAGCCTTCTCACGATCGGCCTCATCTTCCTCGTCCAGCGTGGCGACAATGTTGATCTTGCTACCCTGCCGGCGCAGGATGCGGCTTCCCCGCGCCAAAAAGGACCGGGACGACTTGTCCTGCTTATCGGAGCGGAGTCCCAATGACGAGGCGGCTCGCTCGTCAGAGGCAGTTGAACTGTCTGTTGAGACCATGGAAGATCTCGGTGAAAGGCGTGAAGAAGTCGAGGTGGTGGTATTGCTTCTTGTCCGACCACGAAAGACGGATACCAGCTTGGGGCTATTAGCGAGGGCAATGGACCTGGAACGTATATGTGCGGCATGGTCTGGGTACTCGTTGGACGAGTTGGTAGACGGACGGTCGTCGTCGTCCCAGCCTTTAGCCATTGTAGAGGTCGACATGGTGAAAGTGAAGGAAAGAAACTACACCATGATAAGATGAAATCTGGAGATCTCCGCCGTCTACATAAAGCGAAAGTGGAAAGGAACGGTTCTCGAGTGGAACAGAGAGAGGTGCCGATGATAATAAATTAATAGAATACTCGATAACGGGGGCAATACAAGACACGGAGCAGTGGTGGAGCCGCGTTCAGGGGTATTTACGGTATTTACTTTTCCTTTTTTCTTGTCCTTTTTTTCCATTATTAGTATATGATGTTAGAGTCTATTTTCCGATCTACATGTATTTTCTGATCTATTGTCTCTTTATTTGAATTAGAGCGGTTATACCATGCACTTTGCCGGCTTTTTGTTCTATCATATTTCTACTAGTAGTAGCAGTTACGTATACACAAACAATCTAAAAAATAAGAAAAGTAAATACAATACGGATGAACCAAGGTACATCCCCATGTCAAAGAATTCCCAGTGTCACGGAGCCGAAACCCACTCTAGTGGCGTATCGAGCCAGGGGGTTGGTTCTGAACGTGCTGGGGACCCGCGTGTGGGGAAGAAAAAAGAAGCTATACCTTGTTTAGCAAGTATTAGTCCGATACGCCCCGTGGTATTTATTTTATTCTTACTTTTCCCTTTTGGATTCCAAGGTTCGAAGGTTTTACCGTTAGCTTTGACCCGCGGACACGGGATACGATATACGCGATCTGCCATATTGTTCTACCTGGGCTACATACAACATAGAAACTACATGCTACTACGTACTACGTACTACGTAACTACGTTCTCTGTACTGCATATTATCCTAGGAAGTGTAAATCAATGCCATTGGGCAATATATTTAATTAAATTATCCAATGGTGATATTCAAATCCAATATTTTCCATTTCCTTGCTGTACCAAGGTAGCAACGTGAGGAGCCCCGTGGAGTGGAGGGAAGCCCTTATCACAATTGGGGGCGCACAGTGGTCTTTTCTTATAAGTATGGCACACATTATCTAGGTATCTCTCTGGTTTCTTTGTGGGATAGTTTTTCTTTGCCTATAATTTCTACCTTGCATGAAGCCTGAGACCTATAAACGCCTCTTCCCTTCCCCGCGTCACATAGCGGAGCCTCGGTTCAACGGTTTTAATCATTAAAGGATCCCTAAAAACTGATTCTTAGTGAAAAAGTTAGGGCTTGGGAAAGCCCAGTCATAGATCGCAATCTACTTTCGGGATCCGGCAGTGGGGTCCATAAGTTCATAATAACATTGTACTCGGTATTACCAGAGAGAATTAAAATTGGTATTATAGCCTGGGTATACATGTGCTACGCCTATATAGTACATTGCACTCGGCATTTCTCTTTTTCACTTCAAAATCCCTGTGAACAAGACAAGGATCTCCATGCGAGTTTGTTCCTGTGATCATATCTAACTGTAGGGGCAGTCGGTTAGAGCCTCGGGGACTGCTGGTCCCCTATCTCATGCAAATTGGAAGCGAACCTTTTTTTTTTTTTTTTTCTGAAGCAAATGTAAAACTTATCTGACTAAAAGACTTCACACTACCTCGGGGATGCAAGATGAAGCTGAAGAATGTGACTATTCGGGAATCACCGCGTCCTTACATTGGGGAGTTGCAGTGTCTCAGGGCGGGGTGTATCCATTGTGCCTAGTATGTGCGTACTATCACCCTAGACGTAGTACCACATAGAATTGCTCTCTTGTTATTGTAGCACATAGTTACTTTTCACCGTTGTGACGATTCGTATACATATTTTAATATTTACTTCTACGTCAACAGGCAGCTTCGTATCTTGTGTGGAAGTGGACCTAAGGCCTGCAGCTAGCACGATTCGAAACAAGGGAGAGGAAAACCAAAAACTAAAAAAAAGTCTCAATTCTATTTCAAACTATATACCGCTAGTCAGAGTGTGTATCCATGTGTAAAGTGGACTCCTGACGATCTGGTGTCTAGAACATTGCTGAGAACACTGTTCTTATGTTGTATCTACATACTGTACCTGCGTAGTGCAACACTTTATATTTTTCCAAGGTTAATTAGTGCTCACCTTATACTCCCACATGTTTGAACTATAGATCTACCCCGAGGCTCTACTATTATCCCCTTCCAGAAGGTCCAACTAAGCAGCACGTTCCCCATATCCACCGGCCGTTCGCGTCCACGATGATCGTCGAGCACCGTACCTGTTAATATTATAGGCCCAAGCGTCCCCGGTGTTTTTCCTCAGGTCAGATCTGCGTCAGGAGTATGCCCGGAAATTGGAGTCTTGGTTGGATCTCTTTGTTTTTTTTTAACACTTTGACAAGGGAAGATCAAATAGAGTAGGAGATTCTTAGAGTATGGAAATTCCATTTTTCAAAAAAAAAATGGATCAAGCCTGTGACTAAAAATGCAGGTTAATTAGTATAATAGAGATATAATAGGGAGCTAGTGCGACACTCAAGGTTTGAAGGGACACATTCTAGAATAATGAGACTTATGGTTAACTCCTTTAACTTCCCATGGCTCACGAACACGTTCAGATTCCGATCGACCTAACTCCCCTGAGAGGGGCAGTTGGTTCCCGAGGTTAGTTTACATTTACGTAGTTATATCGGACTCCGTAAAGTCAATTAACTGTTCCGTCATTTTCCCGACTCATTTGACCGAGTCATTTTCCCGCTTGACGATCTAATGTCGCGTAATGCGCTATCACCTTGGGCTGAGCAAGATCCAACGGTCGCCTATCTGGGTAAAGCACATATCCCGGAAGTATTTTGCGGAGAATGGGTCAATCTAATATTGTAATGGAGGTCGTATAGGGGCGATTGACATCGGCCATTTTATTGAGGCTGAACTATCAGACCGAATTCCACTGATAGGCGCGCCGATTGTGTCAAATACTACTATGTGCGATGATCCAGCGATCTTGATGTAACCTGGCATTGTCCATTAGACTTTAAGTACTCCGTACATATTAGGGCATAGCAGGGATTAGCCGTGTTGGCGGTATACAGGGACCTCCTTTCACGTTGCAAAGGACATTTGTGATACATGGCACTTCCAAGGTTGAGTCCTTCGGAACGACTAAATAGCGGACAAACATATGATAGACTACTTATTGCTTTGTCTACATCATATTCAAAGCCTCAGAAATGCGGTGAAATTTTGAAGTCTAGACTTTTGATTTCCAGCCACCAACACTCAGTAAAAGTGAGAAGCCAAATCCATAACGCCAGTTCTTTGTATCTCGGGTTCAAAATTCGTGAGTCCACTCGATTCTACGGATTATGTTGCATGTCTTTCCTCTTCTGAAGACATAGGGTGACATGCTCACAATTAGGTCATAGGATCTGTATAGTTCATTGAGAGCTTGGGCCAAGGATACGTCCAAGGGTGCCTTTGTTATCTGCTTCTCTTTGTTACCAACCAGGTCTTAGCTCTTGAGAACTCCAATGGTATCATCGCCGCCAACGTCAAGAATAGTACTCCGTATCAAGCTCGCCGATAACGTCAAAGTTGGAGTCCTCGTGACCCGCCACCACGCTTGAGAACTCCAATGGTCGCTGATAGCGGCACCAAGCTCGCCGATGGCATGCTCACACTCATGATAAGGCCAATGCTCTTGTCACCGCCGAGGTTAACGGCAATACTGGCATCACCGCTCACATCGTCCTTGGGGACAGGGACAGCAAGTGCTGTGACCGTGAAAAAGATGGGAGTGACAAGAGCCTAACGCATTTTATATGGGTTCAAACTGGAGTGGTCGTTAGAGAATTGTTTCAAGTTCTGGTAGGTCTGTACTCACTGAGAGTAGGAGCGGCTGGGTTGGAACTGGACTATCCTGTATTGAACTTGTGGATATATGTTTGAAACATGATATCCGATGTGCTCAATGAACTTAAAACGTTGGCCTCGACTGTGTTTTACTTGAATCGTGTGGATATGGTCCTCCATTTATGACATGTGCGTAGTCGCGATGGAGTGGATGCCCGATGATGGATACGGATTGGCAGTAGAAGACATTTGGAAACGGCACAGGTCCTGGTAACTGGTATTGTGCTCAACACCGTGATCATAGACAGCCGGAGAGAGAAATTATCGGTTGTATCGATATAGGCTCTTCATCCTTAACTGGGGCCCAAAAGCCTCCCATTGATATCATGACATCGATCCTACGCTGGACCTCTTTCGTTTTTCTTACAAGTGGGGTTTAATTGAATTTGGGCCACAAGGCTATCCACCCTCGATACGTTTGGAGATCCCTAACAAGAACCGAAAGTCAGCCTTAGCCTTGGAATCTATCCGGAAATTCCTATAGAACACTCAATCCTAGAATCGGGTTATCTCCCGTAACCTAGAATAATCCAAAGAGATTTTGTTTGTAACGCGATCTATCAAAAGTACCTATCGCTTTTTAGGTCCCACCGGGGCGTTAGGTGGTATCCATTTTCCATGTCGATATAGTGGATTCAGATCGTACGTTATGATGCTATTCTACGGGAACCTTGAGGTAAATAATTCATGGTAAATTGTAAAGTTCCCAAGAGATCGGGGATGTATACTCTATACCATCTAAAGGTACGGCGATCAGATACATATCCAAAGGTAGTACGGAGTCTCCGAACGGCAATCTTATTCCAACTCACAGAACCATGCCCTTAACAAGATAGCCCCCAATCCAACCCTGACGTAGACATACACAACCCACGGCTACACCTACTACCATATGCAGTTACATGAAGCACTAATGCACCGACCAAGCTAAACAGATATTGCGTAGCTGCTTCTCCATATGGTGACAAGGATTAATCCCACCAGTAACCGTGCACAATCAAATGGGGGCTGCGCAAGCCTCGTCTGACATTTCTAAGCCATCTAGGTACGGACTATCAGCGGAATCCGAGTGGAGATTACGCCTGAGCAGATTCGCTCTACGGGATATGGTAGATTAAATGCATGCGCTTGGGCCTGAATTCCTTTGTAATTTATTTCCTTTCCCCATCTTCCCTTTCGAGTTTAGATGCGTAGATACGTATTTTCCCTTTCTTACGGCTGGGGAGATCTGTGAAAGCCGGTATTTGGCCGTTACTTGGTTGATCCTCGTGGCGTTTTACCATTACTGTAGTCGGTGCGGTCTCAATGGTCTTGTTAGAACAATGCACAGGGTTGTTTTTTTTGAGTAGAATGATAAGGCTAATAAATTACATGGAAGACCAAAGGAAAGAAATGGATTGCAGTTCAGAGGGCCTTTCCCAGACGCCTGGAGAAAAATGGAAAAGAGAACGAATAGGAACCAAAAAAAAAAGAATATGGCAATTCACTCCTGCATCTCCGTGTCCTCCGTAGTTTTAGGCTTCGAAGGCTCCTCGCCGAATAGTTCATCGTCGTCTTCATTGCCAGACTTCTCAGCTTGCACTTCCTGTTGCACCTCCTCTTCCTCGTCCTCGTCCTCGTCATCATCGGCAATGCGGCGAGAGGCATTGCCACGACGGCGCGGTGCAGCTTCTTCAGCTGGCTCCTCGTCGTCGCCGAACAAATCGTCATTGTCTTCACCACCAGACCCAGCCGCCTCTTCGTCATCAGAGTCAACAACCATCTCACTGCTCTTATACTTGCCAGGCTTGTCGGATTTGGCAGCCTGAGCCTTCCCACCCGATCGGCGTTCTAAGCGGCGACGCTTCTTAGGCGCCGTCTCGCCCTCGCTTTCGGGCGCGCTGTGCGCAGCATCGCCCTCCTCTTCATCTGCGATGAAATCGTCTCCGCCCTTCTTCTTGCGCTTGCTGGTAGTCTTCTTCTTGCGCTTGACCCGATCACCGGTCTCAGAGTCGTTGGTCAATTCGGCTTCCTCGCGAGCGCGCTCGTCTTCGACGCGCTGCGCGGCATGCCGTTGCACCTCTTCGACCATCTGAGCGCGTTCCTCGGCGATGCGCTTCTTGCGCTCCATCTCGACCTCTTGGGCTTTGCGCAGCTCCTCTGCCCGGGCCCGTGCGGCTTCTTCGCGGGCTTCACGGGCTTGCTGGAGTTTGGCAGCGTTCTTCTCTTCATACTCCTTCTGGCTCTGCATGGCTCGGTCGAGCTGCTTGCTGATTGTGCGGCCCATGTTGGCTCGCTGCTCCAATGCAGCGCTGGGGTAGGGCGGGTTCTTCTCCTTTGAAAGACGCTCGAAGGTTTCAATGGCCTCCTTGAGACCCTCCGCTGCCTCTTGGACGTCCTGGAGTGTCTTCTGGGTAGGCTGTAGACCGTATGCGAGAGAAGCGATTTGGTTCTGCACGAAAGCAACGTTGAACTGCAGGTGAAGTTGATCCGGAGAGACGTCGCGAGCGCGCGTAGCATAGTCTAGTGCTGTCTTCATTGCGGCCAAGTTCGCCTCCTGCTTGCCTCGTAGCCACCATACACGACCAAGACAAGCCAGGATTTGCACATCGCGTTGGCGATCCTTGGACAATGCAGCCTCGTAGTGTTCAATTGACCGTGAGAACTGGCGGAGCTCAGCGAAGACATGTCCCAAGTTGAGGTAGACGCTGGGGTCCTTCAGCGTATCGCGAATCTTGGACAAGATTTGCACAGCAGAGCTGTGGTCTTTCTTATCATCGACCAGGGCGATCGCAATACCCTGGGCGGCATATGCATTCTTGGGGTCCAGCTGGAGAGCCTTGTCGAAGAACTCCACAGCTCGCTGGTAAATCTTGCGACGCTTTTCCTTCTCTTGGTCTGTGTCGCGGCGCATGTCACGGGCAGCAAGGAGATGCACATTACCCATTCCAGTCAACGCGTAGCGATCATGCTTGTCATAGTACTGTAACGTGTGCTTGAAGTGACGTTGCTCGCTATCTTCAGCAAGGTTGGCGACTCGTTTCTTTGCCTTGCTGAGATACCATCCGTAGAGCGACCGAACTTCCAGATTTGTGCTTTCCGCTTCGTAAAGCTTGCCAATCTTCTTAGGACCCTCGTCTGTAGGGCTCTGGCGCAGGGCAATATATGTCAGGCGTGCATTAGCTTCCGTGTAGTCAGCGTGACGCTCCAGAAGACCTTCGTAGACCTTCTTGGCTTCGTCCCACATGTCGGCTGCCTCGTAAGTCCGTCCAAGGTTGTAGCTGATTGTGGTGACGAGCGCATCGGTATCAATGCCATTCTCTTTTTCTTTGGATTGCACACAGGCGTTGAGTGCGGACTGGAACAAGCCACGAGCCAGAGCAATCTTCTCATTCTGGTATAGGAAGCAGCCCATGTTGTTGAGGAGCTGCGGCGGGAGACTCTCCCTAAGCGCAGCGTTCAGCTTATCCTGGTCCTCGATATCAGGTCGAGCATCCTCGGGAATTTCAGCAATCTGAATCTGTTCCAATTGGGTCAGACACTGCATGCTCTTGTCTGAGGCCGTGCCCTCGTAGAGACGAGAGAGGTAAACAAGAACCGACTCATCGGGAGAGATATTTTGCTTCTCATCCTTCCACATAGAGCGCACTGACTCAAGCAGAGTGATGGCTCGCTTTGTCTCGGTCGACTTGTCTTCCTTGCTGCCTGACTTCTGAGCAGCGAAGACTTCTTCCGCATGAATAGCAGCAAGAAGGGTCATCGCCTCCGGGTTCTTGGACTGCTGAACAATCTTCTCTAGTCGGAACTTGGCACCGTCAAAGTCCTTGTTCGTGATCTGCATTTGCACAGCACCGAATTTGGCGGGAAGATAGCCCTTGTCGACACCACCGCGGGCTTGATCGGAACGGTTGTAGAACTCCATAGCACGGGCCTCGTCGCCTTCATAGTGCGACTTGCGACCAAGGAGGTACCAGCCGTCACTGGCAATAGCCATAACATCTGTGTGTTCGATGGCTTTGCGTGCCAATGTTTCGACGGTGGGATATGATTTGCGGAGGAGGAAGTAGCTGGCGAACAAGGAGCAAGTCATCGGATATTCCTTGTCCAGCTTGAATGCCTTTTGGGTGTATTGAGTCATGGCTAATTTGTACATTGACCCAAACATAGGGTCGGTGGTGGCTCGGCGAGAGCTGTCGTGGAGGTAGTAAACTGCAAGCAGGACGTTGGCAACCTTGGATTCGGGATTCTGCATAGCAATGGCGGTAAGTTACCTTCTTATGAAAAATGAAGGCCTGTGAGGGGGTTTTTTTTTAACATACCAGAGACAAAGATCTCTCCCAGGCTAGCTTGGCTTGATCCTTGAAGCCTAGCTGCCACAAGCAGCATCCCAGACCAATACGAGGATCAGGGTCTGTGAGGTTAGGCATCTTAATCAGAGCCTTTTGGTATCCTTCGAGTGCATCTGCGTATCTTCCAAGCATGTAATGCGCTCGGGCACGTCCCAGAATGGCCATGATGTTCCGGCCACCAAAGGCCTTGGATGACTCGTCGAAACATTTTAGGGCCTGCCGGAGGGACTCGACTCTTTCCGAGGTATCAATCGCACCAGGACGAACAGCACGGGGAGGGTATAGTGAGGCACGGAGAAGACACAAGACGCCACGCGCCAGGAAGAGAGGAGGATAAGCTGGATTGAGTCGCGAAGCCTCGTTCAACGTCGAAGTCGCGAGTTGGAGGTAGTGATCTTTGGTCTTGGCTTCTGAGTATAGTTCACCTTCAGGTGCGACTCGGGGAGCATGTCTGCTCTTCAACAGCAGCATCCAGCAGATCCAGCCTAGCAGGCCGAGTTTCTCCTTTGTGGCTCCGTGGGCGACGGAGGCCAGACCCTTGGTCAAGATGTCGATGGCATGATCGATCTGCTTTCGCTTTGCATAAGCGAGCGCAATAATCACCCAGAAATTCTTGGCCGCCTTTTCGTTCTCCAAGAGGGTGCAAAGCTCAGTCGGGTCATCGGGGAGCTCGAGCAAGCTGACTTCGACTTCGCTGTCGAAACTAGAAGCGGGAATGTCGATAGCATCGGGGATATCGGAAAAGCGCAGATTGCTCAATGGGCTCACTGAAGGTACAACGTCACCATTCGG